TTACTTGAAACTCATAGTGCAATGTCATGTGTCTGGTTGTGAAAATTGTAACAGTTCTGTCAACAAAGGGAACCATCACGTCAGATTATTAATTTCCCAAAATAGCACTCTTAGATACCAATTTCGGCCTTCATTTTCTCACCTGCTATTGAACGAAAATGCTTCATTTTTGGAATTTGCATTCGTGTTAAGAGCACATTTCAAATAAGTGATTTTATAAGCATCATCAATTTTTGACTTTAAAGCAGGCCTAATACCTAAAATGGAATATAACATTACATAGTTAAAAATTCCAGCTGGTAGGAGGTGAACCAGTTGGCTATTTTACAAGCATGGCAATGCAATGATTTGAGCTCCGGACTACCAAGAACAAATCCAGCCAGTGGTCAGGGCAGGACTTCAACTCAATCATTACAAGGTCCAGCACTCTAACCACAGGCCATGCTGCCTCCCTCAAATGTCAGTTTACATCAGAACCTCTCTGAAGATCCCCATGCAGCTGATATGATTTCTATTACAACACTGCGTTTATCAACTTTTCTCATTACACTTTAGCTTATTAGCAACCTAATCCAGATCTAGAAAATGATTATGCAGCAGGATTTACCTCACTTTGTGAAATCAACCTCGTTTAATTGTCTTTTCTCTTATAAACAAAATCCCTTAAAGCACATGCCACAAGGGTTAAATCTATGTCAATCACGCGCACTTATGAAACGAAAGCGAGGAAACAGCAGAAACATCCTGACTCACCTACTCTGTACTTATAATCCGAGGGATAAATGACGCCCTTCTTCTCCCTTAAAACAAAAACTTCGTGATTTTTATGTTCTCTATCTTCGTGGTCAGCTAACAAGTCCATATCATGATCATCAAGTTCTGAATCTACGCTTACAGAATGAAGTGAAAATGGAGGTTTCATATCATCGACGTCCGCCATCTTTGCTTATATCTATCTCATCCCCAGGTCTTCTCGGTGGCTCCGGCGTCGGCTCCGGCAAACTGCTTTATGGTGGGTCGGTGTCAAGGTGTCATGCAGAGATGCAACGGCTGCGCCCGAGGAGGGGAGGGGACTCTCTATAATGGCTTATACGGGGAAGCTCCGCCCGAAAGGGGTACCTTTTCAGTCATCATCAACATCATCATAACGATTATTCCTCGAGCCCTCATGGGCTCTGAGTCAATAGCGACCTTTAGCAATGAAGACGAGAACGAGGACGAGTACTGGTATGACCGATTGGGGCCCAGCGAGTAGCCGATCCAGGGGGTAGCGCCGGCTTTTTGGCAGCAAAAAAGGATTAAAGTCTAGCTTTATTTTAAGTACCAAAAGTTGTTTTGTCTCGATATTTTTGACCGCAACTAGTTGGATTTTACTAAAATAATTATTCCTCTCGCCCTCACAAGCTCTTAGTCAATAGCCCATTTGGCCTTCGGCCTCATGGGCTATTGACTCAGAGCCCATTCAGGCTCGAGGAAGAATTGTTAAATATCTTAAAATGTTACAAAATAATAACAGTAATAGTACTTACAAAAATGAATGTTGAAATAAATAAATATAATTAATTTGTAAAATTAAGGTTTATACACCATGCCAGCCTTATGAATTTGAGTTTTTAAAAGGTTTTGCCACCCCAAGTCATTTAAAAGTATACTCGCATCTGCATCGCAATTGGAGTTAGGCTTCAGTTCAGTATGAATTAAGAGTAGCGATTTTACTAAATGAAGTATATGAAAGGGGTGAAAAATCTGTCATTTCGGTCTGTAAAAGGACCAATGGCATGGGGAGTTCCTATGGGGTTAAGAGATGCATTTCATGGCTGAGTTGAAAGTCGAGAAAACGTTCTGGTTGTGTGATTTATTCATATTTTAAAAACAGTGCAAAGCAGTTAAAGAGACTGTGAAACTTTGAAAGTAGGTATGTGAAATGCTTGGTTACCATTTGTCCGATACAAGCATACGAAAGGGGTAACTTTTCTTTCAAAAACGGTGCATCAAAGGATACAAAGGGGTTGGACCTCGGGGCGGGGCGGAGCCTACCCATACCTCTCTCCCAGGCGGCTGCTAAGGAGACCATATGGTCGGGGATAATGCCACAACCCAAGCATTTTTCTTAGGAAAAAATAACAGGATCGGAAGGGACTGACAAATCAACTAAGAAAGTAAGTAACTAAAAAGTAAGCGACTTTATTTTAAAAGCGTACTAACACTTGACAGTGACTACAATTTAATACTGATGAACTTGTGGCCCTCTAAAGACAAAAATACAATGGAATAAACCTACACACAATGTATGTACACTAGCAATAGTTTGGAGTTTGGTATCTTTGAAGCCCAGTGCACAAGCTAGAGATCGACAGAGAGGTATCAGTACTATGTGGCGTCATTAAGACAGAGTTTTGTCTTAATCTTATAATTGCTAACTCCTATCCTCACCTAAAAATTCTCGCTAAGTGGCTGATTCCTGTTCCAAGTCAAGGATGTGTTTTAGTAAGACGAAATCCCGCGCGGTGAGGATGGTATTAAAATATCCATTAAATCAGCCCTCTCTATAGGCAATAAGAAGACTCTTAAAAATACGGCATTCATAAGTGTACTTTTAATATAGGCAATATGTTTTGCCCCAAAATTGGAACAATTTTTAATTCCAAAGCTTCGAGAAATGCCAAGTAATCAGTTTGAAGAGGGACTCACATCTATTTGAAACTAAAATTTTCAGCAGAAACTATTCTTCCGTAAATTAAAGTACTCAAACTCAAATTTTTTCACTGAAAACGACCTCAACTAGGGAATTGTCTATTAACCGTAGAGACGAGACCGTTTTTCGCGAAAACAGATCGAGGACCAGTCCAACACTTAGGGTTTTTGAAATAACTAAGGAGAAAATGCTGCCTTTGTAAAGATAATGGCAAAGGGTTAGACTTTCGAGGCCCTGTTTGGGGGTCGGGGGCGGGAATTGTTATCCCTTATTCCTTTAAATCTTAGAACAGATATCCCTTATCCCTAAAAGTTCTAAGAATACTATCCGTAAAAGTCAGGGGCCGCGGCGAGGGGGGGGGGGGGG